TAATTAGTAAATTTAAATTAGTAATTAATTTAAAATTTTAAATTTTTTAAAAAATTAGTTAATAGATGATTTTGTTAAAAAAAATAATATACATATATATATATATATATATATATAGTTGCTGGACCTATGGTAAAAAAATAAAAGTGAATATGGAATCTATCATTAAAAAATATGAATGCAAAACCTATATTTGTCAATGTTAAAATTTAAGACAAAGTGTAAAAAATAATAAAATTTTTATATTTTTAAAAGATCATATAAAATTTATAATAAAAAGTAAAAATAAATATAAAATTATTATAAAAAATAATAGATGTTAAATAGACAATAAAATTTATCCAAGACGGTCTATTCCCACTTTTCAATTTGGACAGTCCAAATGGACCCCATTACCAAAAGTGAACTCACGTCATTGCGGCAATGAGTTTAGTGAACTCATTGCGGCAATGAGTTCAAAAGTATCCACCAAGAGTGAACTCACTGTTGGTGGATACTAAAGAAGATCCATCGTTGTGACTATAAAAAAGGGAATTCTTCTTCGAAGAGGGAGAGAAGAAATTTTCACTACTGCAAGTTCTCTGATTTTCTCCTCTCTGAGATATCAGCAGCAAAAGAAATTTTCTCAATTTCACAAGAAACATATCTAGTTTTCAGTTTCTTTCATGGGGAACTTCTTCTCTAGATTTTGTCATGGTAACAACACAGACATCGGAGATCCCACTGTTCCCCCGAGGTTCATTACTACATGTCATTTCATCTCGTTAATTCGCTCTTTACTTTTCTCATTCTGACTTGTTTTTGTTTAATTATTCAAGGGTTTCAGATTCTGTTCCTTCACTTCATACCATTCATGCTTATTTAACCGGATTGCTACTTGCTTTGACCCAAATCAAGTACCAAGGATTGAACACTAGCCCCTTCAAAGACCGCCCTGCTGTCATGATACTATTTCTCATGGCAATAACCGTGTACGTCATCACACTCGTAGTTCTGAGATTAAAGTCCAATTTAAGAATGGCTTGGTGGATGTGCCATGTTTCAGGAAGTGTTGCTTGTGAGCTACTCGTGCTGGTGCTGGTCTCTCCGTTATGGTGCTTCCTCATAAACGCCTCTTCACTTATGTTGGTTTTCATCTTGCTCTTCTGCTACGGTTATCTGTTCCCACCACCACAAACATCTTCAGGCCCTCCTCAAAGTGCGCAGGGGCAAGCTACTGAAATCACAGGCCTAGAAGCTGCAGCAACTCCCAGTGTTTAATTAAACTGCTCACTGTTTGGTTTGAGGGGAAATAAAAAATTAATAAGTTTGATTTTTGTTTTAAATTAAAAAAATGGAGAGAGGGGGCAGAGATAGTTCAATGAACCTTCTCTACTTTTCCGGTTTTCCCTTTACTGTTTTTCATTAAAAAATTTTCACCCTAATTCTTCATTTTTTTCCTCAAAAAAAAAGAGAATTTATTAAAATTTCTCCTCATTTTCATTCCCTTCAAACCAAACAGAGCATAAGTGAATTTGAGGATCATTCAGATAAAATTCACGTGGTCAAATTTAGTATTTGAATGGATCAATTTTTTTTTGAAAATATATGAAAAAATAATCTCAGATTGTATACGTTGTATTTTTTTTTTTTTTTTTGGGGTAAAATAGATCTCGCATCCTATATGTTGTATATTGGCTTATTGAGCTGAAACTTGAAAGCCACAATGTTCAGTCGACAATGCCATTTTTTTGTCATCTTCCTTGGGGTCTCAGTTTCAGTTACCGTGTTTTTTGTCAGCCCTGATTTGGTGGTCCAATTTCTCTTTAACATTAGCCCATTCATCACGTTATTTTTACGAGGCCCAAAATAATTTTGAGTTTGGCCCAGAAGAGGTCAGTTTAACAAAAAAATAAAAAAATCGTTCACAGCCAAAACCATAAAATAAAACAAAGACAACTTATTTCAATCACAAGACATGGATGTCAATCACCGACAGCTTCATTCATCACCATCATGAATCAATCAGTCAAGTTTTTAATCACTAAAGATTTCGTTGACTTCCAATGACAGTATGACTCCAATCCTCTGTTTTCAATTCTGCCGGCCTGCAATTGATTGGTCGCTTTCTTTTAGGATAGTCCGCGCGTCAGGT